GAGGAAAGGGTATGGTGGATCCTCTATCTCAGAAAAGCTGCAGTGGCACAGTTCTCTGCCATTTCATCAGTGAATTAAGGGTATTCCCACAGCCTGGATTGTACAGGGAAATAGGGAAGTTGTTACTATGGCTCTCCTCAGATTTTTCAAACAGTTCAGGCAGCAGTACTGACATTAACAGCAACAGCAGCAGAAGCCCCTGCTCTCTTGCTTCCCCCTTCAGATTAAAACGTGTGAGTTACTACTGGGAACTGCTGCCCTCTGCTGTCACACACAGAGACGAAATTCTCATTGGACAAAACCAGGCTTACAATTACCTACTGGAAAAATAAAGCACAACAAAATACCGTGGTAATCACCACAAGGTCATAATGCATTCAGATTTCACGTGGGTTCACCCAGGCCTCTCTGTTCTGGTCTTACACATTTATAAAATGGCTGCCTGTTTCTGCAGTGCATCCACAGAGGCACATTGCACGCTAAACTCAACCTAAAGATGATTTTCCTGCACCCATCATTTTTGTTGCAGCTGTTTCAGAGGTAAAAGCCCTCAGCTATTAGTGCATTGAGCAAAACACCTCTTACTGTCTAAAGATCTGTGCAGCGGATTGTGAATATCACCAGGGAAAGTGTCAGCAAATATCCTGCCCCCAACAGAGGGCCTGGACTAGACTGAAGGAATAAAACATTATTGTCATCCACGTGCGGCTCTACACAGTTTTTCTCCTTGTATCAACCCTTCCAGTGGGCAGAGCCACTGGGAAGCTTTGCCAACCACTTTAAACACTGTCCAGATGGAAAAGTCAACGTGAATTTTCAGGAGTATTATGAAATCAAGCAAAGACTGAGGTCTGCAAATACCGAACTGGTTTGGGTTGGAAGGGACTGTCCTGGGTTAGCAGCAGCAGTCATTTTTCTCTTTCTTGGTAGCTGGTGCAGTGCTGTGTTTTGACTTTCGGGCTGGGAACAAAGCTGATAAAAATGATGTTCTGGTTGGGACAAGGACTTTGTGAGCCTCATGCTCTGCCAGGGAGGAGGGAAGCCGGGAGGAAGCAGAGACAGGACACCTGACCCAAACTGACCAAAGAAGTATTCCATACCACAGCATGTCATGCCCTGGATGTAACTGGGGAGTGAGCCAGAAGGGCTAAGGGGACTGCAGGGCTCGAGGAGGTATCGGTCGGTGCTTGGTCGGGCTGGGGGGAGCAAGTTATCAGTCGCCTGGTGATGGGTTGTTGTATTCTCTTCCCTTGTTATTTCCCTTATCATTACTATTATTGGTGGCAGCAGTAGTGATCTGTGTTATACCTTAGTTACTGAACTGTTCTTATCTCAACCCATGGGAGTTGCATTTCTTTTTGATTCTCCTCTCCGTTCCCCCAGGAGTAGGGGGAGGGCAAGAAGGGGGGGAGTGGGTAACAAGCTGCCTGTCTGGGTTTAAACCACGACAGGGACCTTAAAGCTCACCCAGTTTCAACCCCCTACCATAGGCAGGGACACCTTGCACAAGAACACGTTGCTCCATGCCCTGTCCAACCTGGCCTCGTACAGTGCCATGGATGGGGCAGCTACAGCTTCTCTGGGCAGCCTGTGCCAGGATACTCTGCAGCCCTCAGATAGGGATATCTTAAACTTAAAGGGAAAAGATACACCATGCTTCAAAGCACATTTCCAGCCTGCCCACAGAAAAGCAGTACTCTGTTCTGAGTCTGCAGTGTCACATTTGCCAACTTACCTGACCTCCTCACCAGCAAAATCAAACATTTTGGTGATTGTCACTTTTCCTGAATCCTTTGGTTTCTCCTGAAGCTTCTTCCCACTCCTCTCTCCTTCAGCCTACAAAATACATGAAGGAGAAAGCAAACTAACCAATCTGTGAAGCCAAGCTGAGTTATCACTCCAAGGACCCAACACAGACTCAAGTCCCACTGCAATTTAGGCTGGCTAGTCAAAGCAAGTCATCCACAGAAAGCAAAAGGAAGCAAACACCCCTGCCACCAAAAGGACGTTCCCCACTTTGGTTCCAGCCTCTTACTGGAGCTTAAGGATCAAAACAAACCCAAAATGAGACGTGAAATTATAATTAAATGTAGGAATAAGCAAGAATACACTGTTGTGGTTCAGAAAGCAAGCAAAAGTCTTAAGACTTGGTTCTCCCAAACTGTGTGGATTGCACCCAAATATGTTTATTTTTACTCAAGTTGTTTTTGTTTACACAGAACACAAGACTGATCTTCACAGACAACTTTGAAGTTAATAAGCTACTTGTCAACAATGTCTATTTGAGAGGAAAATATCTTTATTAAGCAGTGTGGCAATAATGCTTCTTAATTTACTCAGTCACAACTACAGCTTTTAACAGCATATATAAAAAGCCTCACACCCTACAAATATTCAAAACAACCCCCGAAATTCTTGCTCTAAATCAGCCACGTACCACTGAGATCTTCAAGCAGACAACTGAAGTCCAAATTAAGAACAAAGAGAACAGAGGAACTGCATCGTTCCAAGAATTTTTCTAGGCCATGGGGGAACTTTCACAGACCACTCACATTTTAGGTTTCTGCCTGTAGCATTGCTCAGAGAACTTTTACTCTCTCCTCCTCTCAAATTCTACCTGCAGTCATCACTTCAGCCAGTAACAAGTGAGGTGGAGAAAAGCAGAAGGGTTCAGAAGCAAGGACTGAATGGCTACACTTGTTCTGCAACCCTCCAACACTTAGAGAAATAAGCTTCAGACAGTGAGAAACTGTACTTGCCAAGTGTCACTGATTCAGGAGTCCAGACTTTTCTTAGAAAATACCTTTTTTCCTGATCACTCAAAAAGGGAAAAAACCAAGACAGTTTGAAGAAAAGAGGGTGAGCTTTGGTACCTTCTTCCATTCTGCCACCTTCAGTGTGAACGGCTTTGCAAGGCAAATAAATGCATATGGTTAAGAACCAAATTCTTTCAAATACCCAATTACACACAGAATTCTTCCTATGGAGAACCTCAGCAGACAGGGAGCAAGACCACTTTAATGGGGCATATAAAGGAAACTAGAGAAAGCTCGATTCATTCTTGTTACCAGTGCCCATCCAAACATGCAGCATCTTCCACCCTCCCTCACTGTATGAGGATGAAGAGCAAAGCACTGAGATGTCAGGAGGAGTCTCTTCAGTTTCCCCATGCACACACACATACAGAGCCCCCCTTTCTTGTTTTATTTGGAGTATCAGGAAAGGCACAAGCCTGAGGGGAGAGCTGTGCCACCAGCACAGCTCAGACCAAAGCTCACTATGCCACTTCTACATCACACGAGAATCCAGGACCAGAAAGGGAAGCCAGCAGGGCTCTGCTGGCACTCTGAGACGCAGACAAGCAGCTCCAGAAGCAGCACTGCTAGATCATATGCCTCCCCAGTCAGAAGGAAACCAGCAGCTTACAGTTTGCTCACAATGAGGCTCTAGGTTTACTAAGCAGATGGGGCAACGATAAGCCCAGCCTCCCCCAGCTTTGACTGACACCTGCCACCAGGTACAGCCAACTGACGGCTCTAAAGCTTTGGCCCTCCCCATCCTCCATGGGTGAAAGCCCAGGGCCCCATTACCTTCTCAGCCTGAGTGGAAGTCTCTGGTTTGGGTTTCTGTCCCACATCACTGAGGAAACTGGCCCAAAGAGCATCCTCTTTCTTTTTTATTTCTTCTTCTTTTCTTCGTTCCACCTGCTCTACATTATCCACTTCCTCCTCCTCCTCTTCTTCTTCATTCCTCTGAGTCTTTTCTTCCTCTATCTCATCTGGCTCTAGCAAGAGACCTCCTTTCTTCCTCTTCCTAAGAGCAGACACGAAAAAAAAAAGATATAAATACCTATACTGAGGTGCTGCAACACTACTGTGGAGCAGAACAGTGAAGCAACATGGCATTTCATATTTATACTGAGACAGTCTACCAGGGCAATTCCCCTTATCTTGGGGGTGAGGCTGCTTAATTTAAAGACGATGCTGTTCAGAAAATACCACAGGACTGAAGCAGACCGTCTCCCTGAAGTAGACTGTAACACATATACGTGTACCTGGAAGGGTATAATGGGCTCTGGGATACTGCAGAAACCACAAGAGGAGGAGAACCTGAGGTGGACAGGATGCAGCCTCAAAATACATACATGGGAGGTTTCTCCCACCAAAAGTACTTTGCCTTACCGAAAGGAAACTAACGGGCTCCTGCAGGGGGGTTTCAGGACGATCTCATTCAAGCCTGAGGATCTCAGGTGCTGAACCACAACGAAGAAGACCGTTTCTCATCCCCCAGTCCCTCACCACAGCGACCGGCGGAACGAGCACTCGCGAAGGCGGTTCCCGGCCGGGCCAAGGCGGACTCTCCCCCCCCGGGATACCGCGCCCGTGCGGAACCTGCTGTACCTGCTGGCGGGGAGGCGGGGAATCCTCCTGCCGCGGGGCGGCCGTGGGCTGTCCGCCGGTTCCTCCTGCACGAGCTCGCTCACGTCGTCCTCGCTGTATTCCGCACCTGGAAGCACAGCGGGTAAGCACCGGGACCGGAACAACCGGGAACAACGGTACCGGGACCGCCCCGCTCACCTGAGGGCACGTAGTCCTCGTCCTCGGCCGAAGAGTATTCCTCCGACCCCGACATGGCTCCGACCCCAGCCCAGCCGCCTCACAGCCTCCGCGGATGCCTCACGCGCGCAACACCGCTGCCCAGAGCGTCGCAGCCGCTCTCGCGCGCCCCCTAGCGGGTCGGCAGACGCCTAGACCTCCAAGGCTGTGCCGGAGCTCAGGGAGCAGCGACGAGAGACCTACCAGCAGGCTAGAGCGCCTCTGCAGCCGCGACCGACGGCACCTGAGGGAGGGCGCCCAGAGTTCTTTGCGACCTATGGCCGTTCCCATAGCAACGCGAGGGTGGGGATGGCCCTGGCGGCCCGGAAGCGCAGCGAGCGAGAGTTGGTTGGCCAAGGGCCCTGTCTGTCACCGCGCGACGTTTCCCATTGGCTAAGGTGATCGGAAGGGGTGGGGCGGAAAGTGCTGCTGTGAATGGCGTCTGCGAACCCTGCCCGGGGATGGAGGGCGGCGAAGCGGGTGGTGGGGGACTTCTGCAGCAGATCCTCAGCCTTCGTCTGGTGCCGCGCGTCGGCAATGGCACCACCACCTACTCCAGCCCGCTCTCCACCTTCCCAGGTACCGTCCCGCCGCGGGGCCTTTTCAGAGCGGGGCCCCGTGGCCCCTCTGGTCCGCTGGCCCCGCGCAGGCCTCACTGCGCTTCTCTCCACAGAGATGTGGTACGGCGTCTTCCTGTGGGCGCTCGTGTCCTCCCTCTCCTTTCACGTCCCGGCAGCTTTGCTAGCGCTCTTCACGCTCCGGCACCACAAGTACGGCAGGTTCATGTCCGTGAGCCTCCTGCTGATGGGCATCGTGGGACCCATTACCGCCGGCATCCTCACAAGTACGGTAGATGATCGATAACCGCGACAGGGTGCCTCTGAGGTGATCAGAGGTTGCCTTTGGGAGCGCGTCCAACTGCGGCATTCCTGGGGTACAGAGGAGATGGGTGTTTTAGCTTTATGCCCCCCTTGGTCTATGTTTGGTGCTGGAGCATTGCGTCCAGACCTGAAGTCCTCAGTACAGGAAAGAGATGGACCTGTTGGAGAGGGTCCAGAGGAGAGACACAAAAAACAATCTGAGGGCTGAAGCACCTCTCCTATGAGGAAAGGCTGAGAGAGTTGGGGTTGTTCAGCCTCGAGAAGGGAGGTCTTCTTCGGGGGGGACCCGATTGTGGCCTTACAGTTCTTAAAGGGGCCTATAAGAAAGATGGAGAGAGACTTTTTAGTAGAGCCTGTTGAAACAGAATGAGGGGTGATGGTTTTAAACTGAAAGAGGGAGATTCAGGCTGGACACGAGGAAGAAATTTTTTGTAGTAATGGTGGTGAAACACTGCTCCAGGTTGCCCAGAGAGGTGGTGGATGCCCCATCCCTGGAGATATTCAAGGCCAGGCTGGATGTGGTTCTGGGAAACCTGTTGAAGGTGTTCCTCCTCCCTGCAACGGTTTTGGACTAGGTGACTATTGAAGGTCCCCTTTCGACCCAAACTATTCTGTGATTCTATGTTTGAAAGAGTTGAACCATAACAATACTGAGCCCTTTGTCAGGGCTTCCAAACGTACCTGTCAGGTGCAGAGACAGGTGGGCTTTCAGGTTTCTGAGCACTCACAGAAAAGCCATGCACAGGTTTGGTGTCTGTGCCAAGAACTGGGTATTCTTTGCAGCTGTGGGCTGTGGTGTAGAGGATCTTGTGACAAAAGTATGTCCAAACCCACCCCAACCTCCACACCCCCTGCAGGACTCAGGAGATCTTCACTACCAATTTACCTATTCCTACCAGCGCAGGTCGGTTACCGGCTGAGGTTTGTCATGGCAAACCTAGTCCAGCACTTCTGCTAGTCCTCTCCCACAGAGCCCCTGTGTTCTCTGCCCTGGTCTCCCATCCTCCTAGATTCCCCCCTTCATTTCTGTGGTATGATAGCATATGTCTATATATTCACGTTCTGGCTTTTTCTCCTCTCTGCAGGTGCTGCCATTGCTGGAGTTTACAGAGCTGCAGGGAAAAAAATGATTCCCTTTGAAGCCCTCATTTTGGGAGTGGGCCAGACATTCTGCGTGGTGGTGGTTTCATTTCTACGCATTTTAGCCACTCTCTAGCTCTTCTTCAGGCACTAGAGCTCTTAAATCAAAGGAAGAGCAAAAGATCTGCTGCCTGTGCCACCTCTGAAACAAATCAGAGGGAACACAATGGGAGGTGTGCCTGGGTGTGTGCTTTCTCTGCTGGATAAAGGTAACCCAAGGGCCTGCTCCTGCTTCCAGCATGGCTGGAAATTAAGCTTAAAAAATGGTGATTTTTGTTACTTTTGGTAACATTAAGTGCCAAGTGAAACTTTATTTTCCTGGAGGATAGGAAGCTAAATGACGTCTGGAGCAGAAGGCCCATCTACCTTTTACCAGTGATGAATTCTAGCAACAGAATGTAGCTAGGAGGTGACAGTAGCTGTTGTGGGCTAGAACCAGTGCTACAGACTGAAGTAATGCTCACTTAATGCTTTGACTTCTTGCTGCTTTGTTTGCAGTGAATTCTTCTAATGTGATTTTTTTAAATGAGAAAGTTAATTTGTTTTCTTCCTGGCCCGAATACCAGCTCTTGCTCGTAGTGAATTTGGAAGCAGCAAAAGGAAGAATCATTTTAGACAGATGAAATCACAAATTTGTCACTGAGAACCATGACTATGAATGCTGCAGTGGGGGGAATAACTGGTGTAAAAAGGATTGCTATCTTTGTGTATTTTATTACAGTGAAGCCCTCCAGGCACTGTGTACCTTCTGCCTGAGAAACAGAGCACAGCTGATGGGGCACTACACTCCACTGCCCACACTGGGAATCCCAGGGCACATGTGTGAGCACTCACTGTTGCTTCTTGGGCTCTGAAGGAGACTCGTGGTTTTAAACTTCTCCATTCTCCTCTTACTTGTTGATCATGTTTACAGTGGTGTGGTGGAACTGGGTGTCTTTGCTGACATGGAAACATTGCTGGGCAGTTTATACAAAACTCAGCACACTGCTTCTTAGGTGACTGCACTGGTTGGTGGTGGGTTGTTGGGATATGGGGCTTCCCGGGTGCAGAGGCAGCCAGCTCACAGCATGGTGCCGAGTAGGATTCCTGCAAGGCTCCTGGGAGGAGCCCCAGTAATTCCAATTTCCCAGTCCAACCCCTGCCAGCAGGCAGCATGGTCTCTCAGAATGAGTTGGTTAAGTTTGGTTTAAGTGACTTTTAACTATTAGAGCTGGCCTTTTGCCAGGAGACATGCCACATGGCTGGGGTGCTGCAGTAGCTGGCTGGGTATTTCCTGAGAGCTTGGGTTTTGGGGGACCTTGGAGAAGGTGAGGTTGAGTGCCAAGGATGAAGGGTTATGTAGCCACTCCCATGGCTCTGCCACTGGCATGGCATGGGCTGCCAAGGGAAGGTTCGGTCTGTATCCAGCCTTGCAGAACACAACAGTGTTTTTGCTGAACTCCTTTGGTTTCCAAACTTGCTTGCCTGTTGTACCTGCAATTTATGGTAAGGACAGTTACCCTTCACGAGCCATGTGTCCTATCTGCTGAAACAACCCTAAGCATGGCACTCTGTGTATCATGAAGAAGAATTTCTCTCTATGTACTAATTAATTTCTCAGGAGCGGTCTGTTGGCAGCGAGTGGTGAGAGGTGTTTTTCAGGAGCTACTTACTGAGATTACCCTGCATTTTATCCCATGTTAATTCAGAAAATAAAGCTGTGCATTTTAGGGAAGACTTTATTGTGAATCCTTCTCCCTAGGTGGATGAGGTCCAGGTGGTATAACAAATTCTAAGCCCTGGATTTCGAGAGCCCTATGTGCTGTGCTGCGCTGCTTGTGGAGAGCCTGTCGTCCTACTACGTCATCCATCTGGGGAAGGTGGGGCTTCTCCTTCCCTCTTTGCTTCTGCCCCCAATGAAAAAACAGGACTAATGATCTCTCTAGATGTCTTTTTCCCCTCCCCATTTCAAATTGTTGCACACACAGCGCATGTCCAGAGTGCCTGGTTTAATTCACATGAGTTATTCTCTGTTTTTCCTGGGTGGATTAGACTGGGCAGGGCTGGCTGTACCTTTCAGGTGAAGCTAGAAATTAGTGTCCTGGGCACCTGCTGTGTTCCCCTTTCCCTCACCCCAAAGACTAAGCTGATGGCAACTGTGAAAGCACTTTATCAGTGTGCCATGTGCGATGGCACAAGGCTGGTTCCTCTGGCGTAATGGGGCTGAATCACACAGGGTGCAAATCTGGGCTGTTAAGAACAAAAAATTGCTTAATCACTTGGTGCTGGGTGAACTGAAACCCTCCTGGTTTCTACCCACTGTGATCTCCAAAGTCTGTCTGGGGGAAGAGGAAGTGGTCTGCTTTGCTTGAAGAGTTGACAGCTTGGCCACTGTTTGGAAGTTGAGTGGTTGGAGCCAGTGGTGTCTCTCTGTGTCCAGGCACTGTGAAATTTGCAGGGAATTCTTGCTTAGGAGGTGAACAATCAGCTGCTGACTTGTCTTGACAGGGATTAGCACTGGGGGTGTGTTCTTTGGTGCACACAGAGTATCCACTGCTCCCCTGGCTGCCTTCCCCACTTCCCTGTCCAGTAAAATCAGTTCCAAGCAGCAAGAAACAGTCTTGAAACTGTCAGTGCTGGCAGCTTCCTCCCCTCTCACTGCATTAGCTTGGTCTTCCCTTTACATTCCTTTATGCTGAGTGAGGTGAGCAGAGGAATCCCTTCAGTTTTCAGCGGGTGGCAGTAGACTTAGCTCAGTCGAACTTGTCCAAAACTTAAGAGTTGTAAACCATTGGTGCTGAGGTGTTCCAGGCAGTGCTGTGAGCCCCTGGCCAGCATTGCTCGAGGGAACATCTTGCAGAGAAGCTGCCTGCCCTGGAGAAACATCGCTGCTGAGGCTCGTGGCCCTGCTTGCTGTGTGCAGACATGCCCTATGCTGCTCTGGTTCAGCTCCCACCCCTCTTCCTGTCTCACTGATGACTGTGGCTGTTGCAAACAAATATTTGTATGATAGGAAACTGTAAATTTTATTTTTCTACTGACCCTTCTAATCCTGGTGATGATTATCAGTAAATTCTATAACCATCGAGGTGAACAAAGTTGTGTGTTTCTGCTTCAGTATGACAAGGGGGCCCGGGTTGTGGTGGAAACGAGCCTTGCTACTGCCTCACTCTGGGCCATCCGCACCCAGAATGCTCTGGTTCTGGTGGTTAATTTTGTCTCCCTTAGGAGCTTGACTCACTCCTGCAGCCAGGCACTGCAGCCTGACATGGCATCTCACTGCTGCTCTGCTCTCAGGATGTGCTCAGCCTGTTTCGGAGCCAGGAGCTCCCTTCCCTGAGCAGACATGCAGGGTCCCTGCACCCCCTGGGCTTGGTGCTGACCCACTCCTGCCCCCCCAGGGCAGTTCACACCCTTGGATGGTGGCTTTGCCGGACTGTGGGTCAATCCCTGTACACCCTCAGGCTCTCAAAGGGCAGTGGAAGTCAGTGACTGTCCCCTTCATGCTCTCGAAATGGGACCCCACACCTCATCTGCATGGCTCTGGCTAAACCCAGGGCCAGAGCAATGCCTGCACTATTATATATCTATATGCAGCCTACAAAGACTGAGTTTGGCAAAACAAGGCTTTGGAAGAGGATGGCAGCTGTGTGCAGTTAGCAGTTCCCAGAAGCTGGTAACCAGATGACTTCACTGCTCCCCTAACCCCAGGCATGTGTGCTCTTGAGATCAGAACTGGCCTGACAGATTCACACCCCGAGTCAGCAGGGATCCAGGAGGCTTTATTGGCAGTAAAAGGTCAGCACGTTCTCTTGATTGCCTCGGATAAGGATGACAGGGGGTCTCAGGTCCTGCGAGAGGGTCTCCAGCCAGGCCATGTAGAGGGAGCTGGGGCAGCCCTTCCTGCCGACAGGTGGCGTGCTGCGGCACAGCGAGGGGCCAGTGAGGCACAGCCCCCCCAAGCCAGGCTCCATCTTTAGCCCCCTCTCCATCCTCCACTAATTTGCAGGTTATTTCCCTAAAAAAGGACACCACGACATCCCCCCCCCCCCAATAGGACCAGGGCCAGACCTCTTGGTGCCTTCCAAGGTGTTCTCTCTCCACTGTCCCACTACAGGTTGGGGTATCAATCTGTGGGGAGTGAACATCTAGGGGGACCATTTCCATGGGGCAGGAGGCTGTTGATGGTACCTACATGGCTATGAGTGCTGCATCCTGCGAGTAATCCAGCAAAATCTCATTCAGCCTCACTTGTCGAAGCGACTGCAAAGCAATTAGGGTTGAGAAACACAAGAATTGATTTCAGAAAGTCTGAATTTTGTCTGAGAAGGAGGAGACCCTGTGTAGAAGCTCCCCCAGCAGTGCTGCTACCTTCACTCTGTTCTTATCAACCTCCTCGTCAGAAATCTTCCAGGGACAGCCCTGCCTCATCTCGTTCACTATGGCCTCATCCTTGAAGCCATCGTTTAGCCTGAAGGGAGCTATGAGGTCGTCAAACCTCTTGATGCTGCAAGACAAGCAGATGGTGCCAGGGGTCTGGGTGGGTTTGGTGGTGCTGGGGAGAGGGGGAAGGAGGGGAAGGGGGCGGTTACTGCTCTGGCCGGGGTTTCTGGTTGATGTCAGGGAGGATGTGGACATCATGGAAGCCGAGGCGGAACTTGCTCAGCAGAGAGACAATCCTACCAGAGGGAAAAGGATATGTTTTCCAGGAATCAGTGGGCACAGCAGCCCCGGGACCTGCCCTGCTGCCATCCTTGGTGTGCACTTAGGTTTTTCCCATTTCACTGATTTTCAGAGAATCAAGACAGAGCAGCCAGGTCACAGCCTGCATCTTCTGTTACCACAAAGGCCAAGGATTTTTGGGGGTAAAGCAGCTCCTGCCACCCACCCATGGGGCAGCAGTGGTGGCTACAAGGGGCTGTGGGTCACTTACACCTTCCTTTCCTCGTCCATCCTGTTGATCTGCCCACCAACAAACACACGGATTTTGCACTTTCCCCACCGCTTCTTACGCCCCATGAGGTAGGGGATGAGCAGCGTGAGACCTGGCCCCAAAACACCCAGTGGCAGAGGTGGTGGCAGCAGCCCTGTGGGCTCACCGGCACTATCGATACAAGATGCCTAGAATGCCCTGGCACAGTCAGAAAGGACAAAGCCCTCCTGGGCAATGGGGGTGCTGGGATCACATTAGGCAGATAGAGAGATGTCAAAGAGCCGCAGCAGCCAAAGGTGAAGGTTACCTCCATCATCGAAGAGCCAGTAAATGTCAATGGTCTTCTTGCCCTGCTCGCTCTGGAAGATGGTGCTCGCCTGCTGCTCACAGGCCAAGGTGGTGGGATCCACTGCCAGGGCAAGAGGGTCCCTGTGTCAGCCACAGATTAAAGGCTCATATCTCCTCCCAACCCACAGCCCTGACCATAAACCTAGCTTCCCAAAATTAATTGTTGGAGCCAGGAATGCTCTGAGTGACAGCGAGCCAGGACCAACCTGGTGCTGTTCCTCTCCTCTGCCTTGAGCATGGGGTTAACTGAGGAGGGAGGAGATCAGCATGGGCAAGCAGCAATACCCCACATCCCCAGCCCCTTCAGTCCCAGCCAGGAGTGATATCCCCCCTAGGTCTGTGACCTTCATCTGGGGACATGGTGCCTGCTGGCATGTCCTACAGCTCCAGCATACCTCTGAGCATCCCCAGCTGCCCCAAAGCACTTACTGTGTGCCTGCAGAACTCGGGAAACATTCAGCCCTTCCTTCATCCTCAACAAGCACACACCATACTTGAAATCAAAGGCGTCGCTGGAAGGGGGGAGGAGAAGGAGGTTAACAGTGGCCATCTCATGTTGGGTGGCACTGCCAGCATGTGGCCACAGCATCCCTGCACCCAACCGCAGGGCCACCACCAGGTCCTGGCGTCCCCAGGGACGGAGGAGCTGGTGTGGCCGTACTGCAGGATGCCCACGTAGTCCTCCAGGCTCTGTGGGGATGCTGTTCGCCAGTTCCTCTTGTAGCCCAGCACCAGGATGTTGGGTCTCATCTTCCCAAGGCCAGCAGCCTATGGATAGATGTCCTCGTGAGATCCCTCTGCAGGGACAGACGGACACAGGTAGTGTCAGTCTGCGGGGGAGGATGGAAAGGGGGTGCCTAGAGGTCAGGGAGGAGGGTCAGAGTCCCCAGGCTACCTGGATGAGCATTTGGACGCCACTTCTCAGATTCTCAGCCACCACATCTGTATAGAAAGCCTTGATCTTTCTCTTCATAAGCCACCTGGTGTGGCCGTCTGCCGTCAGCCGGGAATCTGGCATCTTCTGCTTCCGTGGGGCCTGTAGCGAGCAAGGGCAGGGGCTCAGGCACAGGCAGCCCTTTCTGCTGGCGGTCTTGCCTCCAATGACCTCCAGCTCCTCTCGTCCCAAGTCACTGGCAAGATCTGGATGTAACTGCTGCACACAAGGGAGGTTGCAATCACAGCAAGAGAACCAGTGAATTTTGGGGGTCCACAGCCAACACACACAGTGCCAGCTGTCCCATGGCTGCAGATGAGCTGGCATTAGCTGCACCTCAATTGCTCTTGAGGCTTCAGGACCACCCTGAGCAACTGCCTCGTTCTACTGTGTCTTTGCCTTGTCAGTTAATTGGTGAAGGGAAGCCATTAGCCCTCAGAGACCTCTCAGTGCTTCATCAATACTGCTTAACAAGCTGGAAAGAGGCTTCCAGATGAAACATCTCATCATCAAGTGGTACACACAGTGAGCCCTGTTCAATCCCAGCGGGACACATCTGGATTTCCCAGCCACTGCCCATGGGGGGCCGGAGCTCCCAGGACAGGGATCCAACCAGCAGGTGACTCACAATGACCACGTTGCCGCAGAGCATCAGGCTGAGGTTCTTGGTGAAGGTCCCCACAAAGTCGACCAGGGCTGGGCGGAAATTGGGAGGGCCGGTGAGCACCAGGCACTGCGGTCTGTGGGCAGGGAGGAAACAGGGGATGAAGGCTGGTACTATGCAGGTACAGCGCCTCTCTGGAATAAAGCATGTGTCTTCTCCCATGCCTGGCCCGCAGCAACTGCAGGGAGTATCTTTAGGATGAGACAAAATCCAGCTGTGGTTCTCTTTCAGGTCTCTTTATATCAGATGAGAGCAATGTGTCTGCCAGGTACAGGGAAGGCAAGGTTTGCCCTGCTTTTCACCTCTGCCCACTTGGCAAAGACATGGGACTTTGGAGACAGACATATTTTGCTGGGGCTCCCAGTTACTGAGGATGGTGGTGAAGATTTTCAGGCTAGGTCTAAGGAAGAACTTCCCTGCGAGGGTGCTGAGGCCCTGGCACAGGGTGCCCAGAGAAGCTGTGCCTGCCCCATCCCTGGCAGTGTTCAAGGCCAGGTTGGACACAGGGGCTTGGAGCAACCTGCTCTAGAGGAAGGTGTCCCTGCCTGTGGCAGGGGTAGGAACTGGATGAGCTTTGAGGTCCCTTCCAACCCAAACCATTCTATATTCTATGATGTGGCCATGAGCCTGAAGCCATTCTGGGTTTGCCAGCAGCATCTGGCTCTGCATCCCCCTGCCTCTGAGACCCCTTGCCTGTAGTTCTTGATGTGCTCATCCACTTCACTCAGCCCCACTGAGTAGTTGAGGGCCATGTTGTATGAGCTGGCTTGCATGGAGGAGCCCCAGTTGACATCTACGTGGAGAAGATGGATTAGTTGTAGGGCCAGACACCTGCTGGGGTATCACTGGCACCAGATTACTACCTGGCTTTTTGTAGAGGACGTATCCCAGGAGGAAGATGACAATGCCAAAGGCAATGAGGGCCGCCCACCAGGTCAGCAGGAACATGATCACCACTGAGATGGCAGCCCCAAAGAGCGCAGCCCACTTGCTGTAATACCGAAAGGAGGGTCGCCAGCCTGCGGCAAACACACACAGAGTGGTGCTGCTGTGACGGGAGCTGCACGGGGAGCTGTGTGCAGCAGCACAGCACAGCATGGCACAGTGTGGCACCGCATGGCATGGCACAGCCCACCTGGGGAGTTGGTGATGGAGGCGTGGAAGCAGCTGAAGTTGATGAGCGCGTAGGAGCAGAGGAAGAAGTTGGAGATGATGGGGGCGATGGCGTTGAGCTCAGCTGTGGGGAGGACGAGGGCGAGATGCTCGTGGCAGGGACTGAGGCACCTGGCAGGTGTTGGACACCAGCTGGGCAGCACCTACCGATGAGGATGAAGCCCACAGCAATGACGTAGGTGAGCATGTAGCCGCGGATGGGCTCACTGTTTCTCCCGTAGCCCTTCCCAAAGAAGCCTATGAGAGGGTAGAGCTGGTCCCTGCAGAGACACTGCGAGAGAGACACACTGGGGATGGCAGCACCATGGTGGCTCTTGCACCCCCTAGAGTAAGGGCTGAACTGGCTTCATGCCTTACACCAGTGGCAGCATCCTCCTCACCCTGGGGCTGCTCATGGCTGCAGAGCACTGAGACGTACCCAAGCGCATTAACTCCTGCTGCCAGCCCTGGGAGCTGGAGCACACAGACACGCACCCCCTCACCTGAAAGACTTTGGGGGCTGAGACGAGGCAGGCCAGTGCCGAGGAGAGGGTAGCACCGAAGATCCCTGCTGTGATGAGGGGGCCAAACCCGGACACCATGCTCATGCTCTGCCCAAAAACCAGGCGGTCAGGAAATCTGGCACCCCCAGCACATCAGCTCTGCCCTGGCCCTAAGCGATTTCCAGGCCCCATCCTGCCACCCTCAGTGCTTTTCCATCAACATTATCCCACCAGTGAAGCCCAGCCACTTCTAAAACCCTGGAAGACATACTCCCCAGTATATCCCCGTTACATGGGTGAAGCCCATTCCTTGGAGCACACACCCAGCCAGGAGTATGGTATGGGGTGGGCGAGCACCTGATAGTAGTTGCTGAGCCCGTATCGGCAGCTCTGCCGCTGGGTGCAGCCGGTGAAGTTCCACCCGAAAGTGCAGGCCAGCCCCTCGCAGCCCGGCGAACCCAGCACCACGCTGTCGTTGAGGCTGCCTGAGGCATCCCGGACCACGCAGGCGCCTGCAGGGACACCGCGCTGCTCAGTGTCTGCTCACCTGGAGGCGTCACATGTCCCCTTGCCTGCGGCATCACCCAAGTCCCTGCCCTGGGGCTGCTGTGAGCAGTGCAGCGTGACCAGCAGGTCAAAGGAGGTGATCCTGCCCCTCTGCTCTGCTCTCGTGAGACCTCACTTGGAGCACCGTGTGTAGTGCTGGTGTCCTCAGCATAAGAAGGACATGGAGTGTCTGGAGCAAGTCCAAAGGACGCTACAAGGGTGATCATGGCCCATGGGGTCGTGGGCAGGGTGGGCAGGAGCACGACTCATACTATCACAAGCTAAGAAAGTTGGGGCTGTTCAGCCCGGAGAAGAGAAGGCTGCGTGGAGACCTCATAGCAGCCTTCCAGTATCTGAAGGGGGCCTATAGGGATGCTGGGGGTGGACTCTTCATCAGGCAGTGTAGTGACAGGACAAGGGGTGATGGGCTCAAACTTAAACAGGGGAAGTTCAGGTCAGATCTCAGGCAGAAGTTCTTCCCTGTGAGGGTGCTGAGGCCCTGGCACAGGGTGCCCAGAGAAGCTGTGGCTGCCCCATCCCTGGCAGTGTTCAAGGCCAGCTTGGACGCAGCTTGGAGCAACCTGGTCTAGTGGAAGGTGTCTCTGCCCATGTCAGGGGGTTGGAACTGGATGAGCTTTGAGGTCCCTTCCAACCCAAGGCAGTCTGGGATTCTATGAATGCCATGAGCTTTGTTGCCCTCCCAGGACTGCATGGAGACAGGAATGAGGTGTGGTGCCTGTGGGGTATCAGTGCTGGTGTCCATGCTTTGCTCCTGGATCCCACCACCTGCATCCTCCCAGACTTCCCATTTCAGGAAAACGGATCCTACCCAGGTCACCCGAGGACATGCTGCTTACCAATCGTAGCAGAAAGCACCAGGTAAGACAAGGTGGTCCAGAAGATGGCCATCAAGGTGCCCTTAGGGATGGCCACAGCAGGATCCTGCCCAAGGAAGTCACAGAGATATAAGACAGCTTTCCAGCAGCAGCACTACAATGCTGCCACACGAGAGGAATTTTAATTCACTGTGACACAAAGCCGTGAAGCATCTCCTGGCTGAGTCTTCCACAAAGCTTCCAGAAGAAATAAACTAGGGTCTAAGATGGATGAGAACCAAAGCCTAGGGAAAAACAGGACTTCACCCCTGAGAAATGCCAGTTCAGTGATCAAACCCACCTTCAGGTCACCTGAAATGTTGGCCCCAGCCAGGATGCCGGTTGCCGATGGGAAGAAAATGGAAAACAAGCTGAAAAAGGAGCCCTCAGGTCCCCGCCAGTTGGGCACAAAGTTCTGGGCAAAGATGTCGGCTGGGGAAGAAGCAGAGGAGAAGCATTTGGGGGCTCTGGACCGCCCACTCCAGTCTGAAGCATCTCGGTGTTGGACGGAGGCACGCTGCTGATGGCAGTTAAGCCATGGGAGGAAGACACCAAGCTCTTGATGACATCTCTCAGCGAGGAGCACCTTCCCATAGCAAACTCCTCTCCCAGCAGCAGCAAGGAGCTGGGCTCCAGCTGTGCACTTGGCCCTGTTGACCCACCTCGGTAGCTGAAGAAGCCCTTCGCTTGCTTCTCGGTGGTGGCAGGGATCACCGTGCCCACCAGGTAGTTTATGAAGGACACCAAGATGACCAGGAAGAACAGTATCTGTGCCTGCCAGAGCAGAAAGAGCCAGCTGAGGGCTGGGGTTTGGGCACTGAGAGGGAGAAGAATGTGTTTAGAGAAACCCCAGAATCTTTTACAGAGCTGTTTGCATCTCCTGCTCCTCGAGTGCCTGGTGGGCAGTGGGGATGGCTCTTCTCAACCCAGGGGAATAAGGTGAGTGGCAGAAGTGAGGGTTACCTTGGCCTCCCACTCCATGCCAGCCAGAGAGATGCCCAGCAGCACCGTCACGGTGACCACCCCGATGATGCGGATGTCATTGGTGGGGTCCACGATGAGAGAATTGTGCTCCTGGGGAGGATGAACCATCCACAGCATGGGAATAACCCTCGCCCTTACTGAACTACCAGCACTGCTGTGACTTTAGCAGCCACCGGTTGATCGTCAGTGGTCCAATATTAGTGAGTGATGAATGCTGTTTGTGTGCAGAGGTGGGGCCCGGGGGACATGGGCAGCCACTGTCTTACCTGCAGCAGGTCCCGGACGGTTTCAGCGAAGCCCACGGTGTGCATGGCCACAGCCACCGCGTTTGCAAAGGCGAAGATCAGCCCGATGGAGCCGCCCAGCTCCGGCCCAAGGCTCCGTGAGATGAGGAAGTAGGTGCCTCCTGAGGCAGTGGAAGCACCCCGTGGTGTTTGCTGCCTCCCCAGCGTGTTTTTGGGCCCCCCCTTCCCCTCGTGGCCCATACCAGGACACACACACACGGTACCTGACTTCACTTTGCCGTTGGTGGATATGGCAGAGATGGACAAGCCGGTGATAGTGGTCACTGTCACAGACATCAGGATGATGAGCCACGTCAGAGCTGCAGGGAGAGCGTACAGCTGTGATCCTGTGTCCATTTCCATCCATCCCCCAGCTCCATAAACCCCCTCACACAGGGACCGCCATCCACTGCCTCCCACCATGCTTGATGCTGCTGGAGTTGTACCCCCCAGTGCTTTGGGTGACAGCCTGATGCCACTGTTCCGCCTGTGCTGTGCTGCAGCACCCACCGATTCCTGCTTGGGCAGTGATCCAGGGCAGGCGCAGGTAGAGGATGACTCCCCATATGTTCAGCATGCAGCGGATCTGGGGGGACAGAGAGGGGACACCGACCATCAGCCCGTGGGTGCTGGGGCTGCACCGGCTCTCCTTGAGAGGCTGCTCCTGCAGGACCAGTTGCACTCACCATCACACCCTTCACCCAGCCGAAGCGGACGGGCTCTGGTGCAGGGGCTGTGCCTGGCTCCACTGATGCCTCTGGGCTGGCCTCTGTCAGCCCATTGCTCCGCTGTGGGTCGGACACGGGCGCACAGAGGTGGCCTGGGTCTGGCTGCAGGGAAAATGCGGGGCAGGTGAGGGGAGAAAGTCAGAGTTTCCCCGGGGTGCAGAGCTGTGGAGACAGCTGGGTTATCCCTCTGCCTTCTCCTAGTGCCTTCCCAGGGACGTGTCCATCGTCACCAAGAAGCATGAGATGAAGCACCACGACCATGAAGATGGCACAGGGACCCACGGCACGGCCAGGGAATGCCGAATCCCACCTTACCTTGAGGATGGAGTGCAGGTCCGCCAGGGAGGGCCTAGCCTTCCTGGTGTCTCCCACCCCCTTGCTGTTGGCATAGTGCTCATAGGCGGGCACGACGTCCATCGTGTTGTAGCCGAAGGTCCTGGTGCAGAGAGTGCTGCCTGAGAGCTGGGTGGGCTGGGCGCTGTCGCAGCTGGAGCTCTCAGTGGGCACATAGGGACCCCGACCACCTTCCTCCGTGCCCAGGAGGGTGCTGATGGTGAAACGGCCACTGCAGCGGGCCGGGGGCAGCTCTGCAATGGGCAGCTCGGCCATTGCCCCTGCCCAAGGCACTGCCAGGAGAGGGATGGGGTGGAGAGGGGCTCACTGGGGCTTTATACCCAGCAAAACCAGAGCGAGGCAACCAGCACCCACCCACTGCTGCTGCTAATGGGGGACAGGAATCGGCTCGAACCACCCTGAGCTGGTCAGGGGAAAAAAAATAGCTGGAAGGGATATCAACCCCGCCGTAATCGGTATCCCTGCCTCCCGGCGCCCGATGGGGCAGCGATAACAGATTTGAGATTAAATCCAAGGACAGAGCAGGAGAGAAATGTGGCACGGAGTTTGCCTCCGGCCCTGACCCAAGAACATTCAGTTCCCACTGGGATTTATTATGGAAAATGGGTGTAAGTAAATCCCATGCACCCTAACCCTTTCCGGGGATACTGCCCCAGACCCCGCACATCCCGTAAATCATCTCAACTGGCCTTGGAGCTGCTGCCTGTGGCACTGGGCTGTGCCAGACATGGGAAGGAAAGCAACCCCTTTATCTCACAGTGGAACCAGGGGGAAGCAGGGAGTGTGACATTGAGAGGGATGCCCCCACCGGGACTCGGATGCCAGCGGGGCTGCACAGGCTGGAGGACATGGATCAGTGAGAGCCACTGAGTCCCTCTGTGATGCCCCAGCGCTGGGACCTGGCAGCTGTCTGGTGCAGTAGATGCCCACATCCCACAGCCCCTTCTCCTGAGCCCAGGGAGGAAGAACCACTGAGCACCCAGGGTTCAAAACTGCCCCAAACCCCATCCCTGACTTAACAAATCCCTTAAACCCTTCCCCACATCACAGAAAACATGAGCTGAGGCCACGCTAACACAGTGTCCCCCTGTGGCCACCAGGAGGTGAGGCTGGGGGAAGGATGGGATGGGAGTCTCATACCTCTGCACCCCACCGTCACATGTGCCTTAAGAGCAGTTACAGATAACATCAGCAGAGACAGCAAATAAGTCAGGCAATAAAATGTGAGGGCAGCCCATTTGAGTTTCAGCCTAATGCAGCTTTGCAAGTGAATGGAAAATTCAGGCTGCCCACGCTGCAGGCTGTCTTCTGCACTCATGCACAAACACTAATCTGCTTCCTGAGGACTTGCTTCAGCCCCCTGGACTGTTTGTGTGTAAGCAGGCACCATCCACAACTGAAACAGCCCCACATGGGCCAGCACGGGCCCATTACCCAGGGAGCTGAAGACAGGCAGCCCTGCCTGCAGCACGGCTCAGCCCTTGCAGCACCCCAGCACAGAGCAACCTAGCACTGCCCTTAGGACCCCTGGCTGTGGAACAGGGGAGAAGGGTGAGATGGGAGAAGGAAGAAGCCTCGTTACATCTCCTGCAGGGTGAGGTGGACACCATCTTCCTGAAGAAGGGCACCTGCTCTTGACAAGAGCAAGGGAGCTGGTGAAGGGCCCAGAGCACAAGTATGATTAGGAATGGCAGAGGGAAGTGGGGGGGGTTAGTCTGGAGAAGACTCGGGGGAAGCTTACCACTTTCTACAACTACCTGAAACAATATGGAGTCAGGAGGTGACTCCCGAGGAACAAGACAGGACAAGAGGGAATGGCCTTAATCTGGGCCAGGGGAGGTTTATACTGGATATTAGGAAACATTTCTTCACTGAAAGGGTGGTCAGGCATTGGAACAGGCTGCCCAGGGCAGTGGTGGAGTCACCATATCTGGCAGTGCTCACACACTGTGTAGACGAGGCCCTTAGTGACATGGTTTAGTGGGGGCCTTGGCAGTGCTGGGGTGACAGTTGGACTTGATCTTAAAGGTCTTTTGCAACCCAGTTAATTCTGTGATTCTTCTCACAACAACAGATGCAGCAGCAGACTCATGCCCAGCAGAAATGGCTTTATTTTAGAGCCCTGTATTCCATCAAAAACACTAACTTGCCCAAACCAGCTCAAATCAGCCTCTTAAACTGGGGGTGGGTATCTCTGTTAAACACAGCACGGTGAAAGATGCTCCAGCAGAAACAGGAGTTCTCCAGATGCCAGGCGAAGAGTGAAGCAAATGGTATGATGCCACCCTGGTGTAGTGAAATAGCCGGATAGTAGGATGCGCTTGTCGTCGGCCTGATTCACAACACCAGCTGCAGCACCGATACCAGGTCCTGTGGCGCTAGGAGCAGGAGGGAGATGCTCCGTGGCACATACTGCCAGCCCCATCACTTATGCAGTGAAGAGGTGCCAAGTTGCTTCTGCAGGGCCTCCCCTCGCTTCCAGCTGACCCCTGGTTCGTTCTGGCTATTAAATGGATCAAATGAACCCACACTGACTTAGGCAGAGCACAGTACAGTGCTTTACATGTGTCTTCTTTCAATGTTTGCCAAAATGCTATGCTCCAACAGGCCTTTAATGAAGCTTTAATTGTCCTGTTTCTATGGAAGAGGGAACCTACCACCCTGGGTCTCACAGGTCATGCAAATGATGCAGGGGCTTGGCACTGCAAACCCACTGCACAGAGCAGCTCCATTTCTTGGCACTGCAGGGAAGAAAGCCTGGGAAGAGGAAATAGATGGTTATTCAGGTAACTGCTGGTCACCTCACCTGATGGGGACAAAGGGATCATCTCCCATCCTCTTCCAGGCACCACTTCCATCCTTACAGGTTCAGACCCAGACAGAAAAGGGACAAAAATGCTGGTACAGGGACACGAACAGCAGCAGTATTTGAGCACTGTTCCACCCTAGGGACACAGAACTGGAATTATCAATATGCCCTTCTTTTCCCAAGGCTGGAAGGAAAATAGCTTGCTTCCATGAGAGGCTGGAGTTGAGGCTGGGGAGATGAGTGTTGAGAGGGTAACAAGAACAGAAAGATTCATTAATTCATTTTCTGAATACAATTCCTTTGGATCCTGCAAGGAACAAGATCCAAGTGCTGTCTTAGACAAATGCAGGTGGGCGAGAGACCAATGGGGAAAAGAGAGGAAACCCCTCATCCAGCAGGTCTGCTCCAGCCAGGGGGTCTGGAAAACACAACAAAACAATCGGGATTGATTGAGATGCAGAATCTGCTGTCAGCAGGAAAATTCGAGGCAAGGCCGAGGAGGAGGGACATCTCACACCGGGTGTAGGCAGTAACCCGACGGTGCAGCCAGCAGAGCCACACATATGCCAGGGTAGCAGTGTGGGCACCGTGGTAAAAGTAGTTAGAATTAATGCTGTGAGATAAAAAAATCCCTTAAAAAAGACCAAAGAAACCAAGCTGAGAAGACAGGACCCACTGATACCAGCTCTGCAGCACAGCTTAGGGGGGGCCCTAGAGGCATTTTTCAGCAGTTTCCTGCTTCTTGGCAGAAAACCTGTTAATTCTCACATGAGCTGGTTGTCTTCCCTTAGCTCAGTTGAGTTTTTACCAGTAGTCCATGGTCCACTCTTGGGCAGAGTTTTAATGTTGTTTTTTCTTCCTGACTGGGCATGTAACATAGGGCAGAAGTTTACAGTGAATACTTCCAGATTCCCCTGCAACTCCCTTGTAAATCCGGACCACATCAACTCAAACCTCATTCGAAGGACATGGAGACCTTAAAGCTTTTGGAGCTGCTAGACTGATACTGCAGCTCTTAGGAATGTTTCATGACTGATGAGCCATGTAAAACTGACTTGGGGATGCATGGTATTTCTGCTGTGTCCACACCAGGACAGAACATCCCATGCTCTCAGAGCAAACACCTTTTCACTTTTTCCTCACATCTTCTCCAGCAACACGAGCATGAGTTGCATCTGACTCAAGCTACCTGTGTCTCATCTACCTGGAGGATCTTTACTGCAGAGGATTAGTCCTGGAGTAGGAGAAAGCAGATGGAATTATCCTAAATTTAACTTTCAGCATTCATCTGTACTCCTTTCTTGTATAAAGGGGCAGAGCTCCAATGGCTTACTTGTCAGATTATACCAAGAATAAATTCAGCTCAGACTAATATCCACAGGTCTGCTGCAGGCTGTGCCTGGCAAACTACAAACACCAACCTGCTCAGATGTTGCTGGCCATTATCATGGTTTTGTGATGAATTTAATGACACCCCAAAAACCTCTTCTAGCAGGCGAGCTGTTTAGAAAACCAAGGCTAAGGCTGCACGTTAGCACAGCTGGAGTGTGACAGTCCAATGGGTTCACAAACGCCACTTCAGCAGCAGGTCAGAACCCTGAGGGAGCAGAGCCAGGTTGTTCTCTCCAGAAGTATGGGGTGCAGAAAAAAATGACATCTGGAAAACCACTGGGGTGCCTTACTCAGCAAAGCACCAATGTGTGTGTCAGCATTTACCTCAATGCGGCAAAGCCCTTACAGTTGTGCTGTAAATGTGACAAACCCCTTACAGTTTGCCCTTACAGGTTGCCAAAGCCAGGCCTAGACATGGAGCTGGAGCCTGCTGCTCTGAGGAATGTGGGAAGATGATGGACTGGAATGTTTACCACCTGAGGGACCCAAGAAAAAAATCACAGGCCAATCAACAAGGAATTACTTAATTCCAACTGTGGCAGCTTCTGCTGTACCCACAACCTCTCACATCTTATTTGAAACAGGGATGGGTCTTACCTTTCCAGGGTTAGTCTCAGGCTTTGATTCCCTGGGGTTTACTTTCTCTATCCACACATCACAGAATTACCATCCTGGGTTCTGGAAGTGTGAAATGATGCAGTTTCTGCTTAGCTTAGAAGGGAGCACAGGCTGGAGTTACAATCACTGAGCCCAAATGGAGCAAGCGGCATGCAGCCATCAATTTTCTCTTTTACCAACACCCATGAAGGCTGAGAAGCACCAGGAAGCATCTGCTACAGCCATCCTCAAAGGGCAGACAGAGAAAAGGCAGCATGCTCTTTTGAAAAGGTCCTCTGGTTCAAGGTTTGACATCAGAAACGTGCTAGTGAGGCAGCACAATAGCTCCACTGAGTAGGGGATGGGCAAAAGACAGGAGAACAAGGTCCTGCAAATGGCAGCGGCAAGAGCTGAGCCCCAAAGGACCTCTCTGTCTCCACATGAAGGGTGGAGGGGGAAGAGGGAATTACAGTGAGTAAAGTGGCCTTCACCCTTCCTGACTAAACTCCACAGATGCTGTCCCTTTCCTGCTCAG